AGGCTCATCTCCCTGATTACTGACTAGTGGTAGGCTCATCTCCCTGATTACTGACTAGTGGTAGGCTCATCTCCCTGATTACTGACTAGTGGTAGATCAGATTAAAATTATCCAATATAACTCCCTCCACCATTTTCTGATGTCTCATAGCCGCTATCTGTATAGGATTCATCGGATGTCCTGGATGTGAAGGATATGTAGGATACTTTGGAGATGTAGGATGCATTTTTATGGCGCCAGTCTTCAAACTAAACATCCAGAAATATATAGCTGATAAATATGACTACAAATAAATTCGATGTCATTCATCTCATTCGCTTTTTCACAAAGAAGAAAATGGGGATAAATATGAAGTTTTAGGATATTTTGCATAATTGTATATGATCTTCTTGGGTAAAGTTCCTTGGAAAACCTTGGAAAAAATAATATTGGTGCTATATTACCGGTATCTTTACACTGTTAGATTTGCCTAACAAATATCTACCCTAGCATAAGGTTTAATGTCTATATTTACTTATAACATGTTTGGTTAAAAATAATGCCAGTTTTATTGAGGACTTTTTTTTTAGTTTAATTTCTCAATTAATTTAAACTCATTATTTTTAAACTCATTAATTTACTTATAATAATATTTATGAATTGTACAGTCACGCATGGTAATATTTAATTGGTCTATATCCACATATAATCTTGATGAGTTTTTAGCTCATGTAAGGCCATCATTCAAGGGTTTGCTCTCTGATAACTTTGTTGCGTGGGCAGCTAGAGTTCCTGAACACAGAGGAGACTGGGCAGCAGGACGCGCGCCTTGCCAAGCTGCTGGTGCTCGTACATCGTGACTGTGAGTGGCATGGGCAGGGCAAAGATGGGTCATTAGTGAAGCATGGATGGGTCATGGACGGGGCAAGGATGTGTTACAAGTAGAACATGGGCGTGAATCCTGCTGTGTGACAGATTGACGTGCTGCTTGGTAGAGAAAATTATCTTTGCATAGATTGTCTACTAAATATGAGTTTTGGTAAAATTTCTTCTCGTATATGTCGTGCCGAAATCACAGGACTTGCCGATTCTATGGAATCGGCAGCTAGTTTGTCGAATCTTTAGAATCAGAATTTCTTTGCTGATTCGGAAAATTGGATGTTAGAGTTAGAACATGATTTGACAGCTAGAGTTAGAAAAAGGTTAGGTCAAATTCTTTTATATTTAAATATTAAAAATAACTTGGCTGACTGACCTAATCCCCCGCTTCTTATAGTATATAATGCTGATTCTACAGATTCGGCAAACTGGCAGCCGATGCCATAGAATCGGCAATTCCGCGATTTCGGCACGACATATATATGCATATCTATGTGTAGGCTTATTGTCATTAATATAAGCTACATCAACTATGTGCTTCAACTCCCCCCCTCCCCTAGCGGGGTCCGTGTACTCGTTCCCCCTGCGGGTGTTGGGGGGCAACAAGGGCTGCGCGGGGCGCCGCTCTCCCTCTTCCTGCCTTGAATCCTGCTGTGTGACAGATTGACGTGCTGCTTGGTAGAGAAAATGATCTTTGCACGGATTGTCTACTAAATACGAGTATTGGTAAAATTTCTTTTTGTATATGTCGTGCCGAAATCACAGGATTGCCGATTCTATGGAATCGGCAGCTAGTTTGCTGAATCTGTAGAATCAGCATTTCTTTGCTGATTCGGAATATTGGATGTTAAAGTTAGAACATGATTTGACAGCTAGAGTTAGAAAAAGGTTAGGTCAAATTCTTTTATATTTAAATATTAAAAATAACTTGGCTGACTGACCTAACCCCCAGTTCTTATACTATATAAATGCTGATTCTACAGATTTGGAAAACTGGCAGCCAATTCCATAGAATCGGCAATTCCGCGATTTCGGCATGACGCATATATGCGTATATCTATGTGTAGGCTTATTGTCATAAATATAAGATACATCAACGACAACGATGTGCTTCAACTCTCCCCCCTCCCCTAGCGGGGTCCGTGTACTCGTTCCCCCTGCGGGTGTTGGGGGGCAACAAGGGCTGCGCGGGGCGCCGCTCTCCCTCTTCCTGCCACTCAAGGTGTGTATATATTATTTTTTTTATTATTTGTTATTATTAAATCAACATATTTCTTCAACATATAACAAATACATCAACGTATTTCTTGTACACCAAATACATCAACATATTTCTTGTGCACCAAATACATCAACGTATTTCTTGTGCACCAAATACCCTCTGAGCCCCATAACCCCTCCCCCCCCAGGTCGTGGGTGGTGGCAGATGAGCCCCTGAAGGAGGGGGTGTGTGGGGGGTTCGTATGGGCTCAATGGAACCCCCGCCTGCATCACCTCTACTACCTGCATCACCGCCCGCCATCCCGTGACGCCGCCATCGTCGATAACGGTGCGTTCTTTTAATTACAAAATTTTATTAATAATAATAATTTAATTTAATTCATTTTGCAAGCCCGCCATCCCGTGACGCCGCCATCGCCGATAACGGTGCGCCTTTTTAATTAAAAAATTTGATTAATAATAATTTAATTTAATTAATTTTGTAAGCCCGCCATCACGTGACGCCGCCATCGTCGATAACGGTGTGCCTTTAGTGCATTAAAATATAATTTCTTAATTGGTGTTTATAAATTAATTTGAAAGACACAATAAAAAGCTTTGTCATCTTCTCAAACTAGAGCTGAATGGAAGTTTTTCATTTTGACTGTGGGTTTGAACGAGTAATTTTTAATTAACATGAGTAAACTTTTCATTTAAACGGGATTCTGGGAACAGGAATTACGGAATTTGAAATAACGCAATTCTAAAATTGCTTNCCTCGCGCGGCACCTGCAGAGCGACGCGCAGCACCTGCTGCACCTGCTGCCCTTCACCTGTCTCTTATACACATCTAGATGTGTATAAGAGACAGGGGCAGCAGTGAGGGATGAGGGGGAGGGAGTAGAGGGAGTGAGGGGAGCTGAGGGTAACCGCGTCTTAGTTGGGTAACCCACCCTTCGTTCATCACGCATTTTCTACCTATGAATGATGTCCTCGTTTTTAAATATCTGTCAAGTTGGTATTCTGGAAGTAGTGAACATTCGAGTGCCGTGTATGCCGTGTGTGTCGTGAGTGTCGTGTTTGTTGTGAGTGTCGTGTGTGTCGTGGGTGTTGTGAGTGTTGTGTGTGTCGTGCGTGTCGTGTATGCCGTGTATGCCATGAGTGTCGTGCGTGAGCGTTGCCGTACATTCGTGCATACAAGGTGCTGAAAGCTTGTCGTGTTGTACGCGTTGAAACTTTTGTGTCCGTCATGAGCAAAGCCTGAGTTTCTCGTCTGTTTCGATATTGTGTTATATGGACAACATAGTGCATAACTGTGCAATAAATAAATACCCTCGAAATATTTCATGAGTATATTACGATGAATCGTGAATGAAGCCGTCAATGCCGTCAAGTGAATGATGTACGTGTAATGTTACTGCGGCGCTGCAGCTGAACGTGCCGCTGGAGTTGGCGGGGTTGGACAGCCCTGGGGTCGCAGGGTTTGGGTCGGATTACCGCGATGAGGGGTTGCTGCACATCACCGCCGACCCCTGGCTGGACATGAGGGTCCTGGCGAGCCCTGGAGGGGCTTTGTGTATCTGCCACCACTACATATATAAGGTGAGAAACGTAAATCTTCATATATTGCTGGGCCTATACTTTCAAAAAAAGTTAAGAGATTGTAAGTTCATCAGCCAATCATTGACGGCCTTATTTCAAGCAAAATCCACCAATCACAGACAAGAAAATAGAGCGTAAGTACTTACGTTCAATTAGCGAGTTTTAAAAGTATGGCCCCAGGTGAATAACATGCAGTTTTTTCATGTATCATGATACACTGCCTGTTACTATGCGATCGTTCCTTGTTTATTAATATAGTTGTGCGCAGTGCGCACCTGCGTATGTTGGTATGACATCACGCAATTTGTTTACTAGGCTGGCGGAGCATAAAGGAAGGAGTTTTAGAACAGGAGACCTGCTTGCGCATCCCCCTCATTCAGCTGAACGTGTTCATGCCAAGCAGTGCAATGTCCCAGTGTCCGATGGTGATTTTAGAACTTTATCCTCCACAACTGGTATTTCTGATCTGCCAATTTTAGAGTCCCTGTATATTTTTAAACAAAATCCTAGTTTAAATGCCGCTTACATTCACTAAAATTGTCTATGTCTTATCCCCTCAAAATTGTAAATAGATAAGTTTTTTTGTTTGACAAGTTTACCTTTGTTATTTGTTTTCATTAGACAATTTATGTTTTAATATCTTCAATGTGAATTTTAGTTGTCTAATTGTTTGTACTTGTGTTTTAGGTTTTTGAACTGACGATGGAGCTGGACTCCGAAACGTTTTCTTTTATAAGAAATGGTTAATTTTTAGCGGTTTTCTTTGCTTTTAAATTCTTCAGTTCATGGTTATCATAACTGAAATTATCAAACTCATTAGCACGGTATTAGAATATTAGCACGATATTAGAACAGTATCGTACTCATCATAATCACTAATGGCATAAATCATCACAATCATTCTCTGCTATACCGTCGCCACCATTACGGTCCTCACTATTATTGTCAAAATCATTACAAAGTTAATAATTATTACAAAGCTAAAAATCATTACAAAGCTAATAATTATATAATCATTCTCATGATCACTACACTTAAATAAATTCTGAAACCTTGTCCAAACAGCGATGCACATTTCGTCTTTATGTGGGGCATCTTGACTCACTTTGCCCCGAAAAAAAGATGTATCAGTGCTACACGCAGCAAGTGTATCACTATTTAGACAATATTACGCAATTTTTCTGCTTATATTATCATCACCTAATCACCTTCTATATAACTCTCCCCCCTCCGTGATAGTCACGGGAGGCGATGACCCCGGCAGACCCCGCGTGTCTGGAGGTGTACGTATTATAATAATTTTTATTATCATCATTTGTATCATATATGTATCATCTTCTTGCTTATATTATATTATCACATGATCACCTGTATAACCCCCCCCCTCCCCGTGATAGTCACGGGAGGCGATGACCCCGGCAGACCCCGCGTGTCTGGAGGTGTACGTGGCGTATAGCGTGACACTGCTGCACCAGCGCTGCGTGTTGCATGCAGTGCTCGACTGCGTGCCATGGACCACTGCACACACTGCGCAGCCCTGCTACGCTCTTACGCCTGGTGTGTTACTTCTTAATTATGTTTATTTAGTTATTATTATATGATATTGTATTATATTGTATTGTATTATATAACACCGCGCAGCCCTGCTACGCTCTTACGCCTGGTACCTTAATTCTTGATGATGTTTATTTAGTTATTATTGTATTATATTGTATTATATTATAATATCGTGCACCTGTAATAGTGTACTTTATAATATAATATTTAATATAATATATTATAAGATGGTTGTTATTGATGTGGTGACTGTACCACACCAGATGTGGTGACTGTACCACACCTGGCATGCAGTAAAGCAGTTCAGTTAAGGGGAGCGTCTGGGGTAAAAAATATCTCGGATATCACTAGATGGATCGATTCCAAATTTGGTACACGTATGTAAAACGTAATTCTGGTGTTTTTTTGTTCGTGTAAATTTTTCGAAAAATTGAGGGAAACGTGAAATTCTTAGGAAACGGCCAAAAAGGGGACACTGTAGAAAGTTAATCAGTCCTATGATTTCCAAGCTACAACATCGAGACACATATCATTCGATGCGTAAAGACTATATCTAAAAACGTAATTTCGGCTTTTTATGAATTTTATCTTTTTTGTGGGTGTGGGAGCATTTTTTCTGAAATTTTTCCATTTTACCTCCGCCCTCCCCCCTTTTTGCAAAATGAAATCCGAACTATAACGAACTCGAAAAAATCCCTAGTTACGTTTGTAGATCTTTTATTTGCGAATCAAACGGTATATGTCTCATTGATGCACCTTCAAAACTGTAGGAGGAGATAGGTTTCCAGTGACAATAAGTGTGAATGTTCAGTAGACCCCAACAAAGTCCCGGGCGCCTCGAAATCGGCATTCAAGACTGCAAGGAATGAGACTAGACGATACTGGAGCTCAATTTCTGTCAAGGATGGTGAGAGCGACGGTGCGGGAACCACCCCGTACGACTGCCGCAAGGTTACTGGAGCTGAGTGTCTGTAGACAAGCTATATATAGTGCAATACGGGAATTATTCCCTATGTTAAATGTGAAAGAGCTCCCCCACCTCCCTCCCTTGCGGAATCTGTAGTGAACGCATAAATCAACGTACAGAGATGGTTTTGGTACCGTTGGATAGGTCAGAGTGTCAGCTTTAAGATGAGACTAAAAACCGGAAAAGCCGAAATTGTCGATTTTGGACCCAGACGCTCCCCTTAAACTTTGGGTTCTCAGTCAGGACCAAATATCAGAATGCTTTCTTGCTGCGATATTCCATACCGACATCTGTAGTGGACATTTGTAATGGAAAGCTTCAATTGTGTTTTTTGTGTCTCGTGGATGTTTATGTCTCGCGTGTCTCGCGTCATGTTTATGTTCTTATGTCTCATATGTCTCGTCTCGTATGTCTTGTTTTTTATGTTATATTTCTTATGTCTTATATACGGTATATCTCGAGCATGTTTGTTTTTATGCCTCGTGTATTTTTATGTTTTTACGTGTTTTATTATGTTGTACCCTCAGACTCAGAGTGTGTTAAGTGTTTTTTATGTTGTAAATTTACCCTCAGACGCAGAGTGTGGGCAAAATGACCTGCCCTCGTTCCCTGAGCTTCGTGCTGTGCGAGGGCACGTCGGGCGCCGAGGGTACAGTCATGAGGGTACTTGAGATGCGTATCACCAAGGACTCGTTGTACCAGTACTTCAAGTGCCCTCACACCAGCCTGTACTGCCGTCTGGCTGTACNGCCGAGGGTACAGTCATGAGGGTACTTGAGATGCGTATCACCAAGGACTCGCTGTACCAGTACTTCAAGTGCCCTCACACCAGCCTGTACTGCCGTCTGGCTGTACTGCACATGGCAGCTGTACATGACAGGGATCAGGACCTTACTAGGAAGGTGAGTGTACATGGCGGCTGTACATGACAGGGATCAGGACCTTACCAGGAAGATGGGTGCACATGGCAGCTGTACATGACAGGGATCAGGACCTTACTAGGAAGGTGGGTGCACATGGCGGCTGTACATGACAGGGATCAGGACCTTACTAGGAAGGTGAGTGCACATGGCAGCTGTACATGACAGCTATTTTTAATGGCTATACACTGGAAAGTAACATGGAAAGTGTGCTTCAAGTTATAAAGTGTGTGGAGATAAGCCACAGCCCGCAGCCTGTCAGGCACCAAACCAAAAATTTACTATTGCAATATGACTGCTGTAACCACATTTTGAAAACCATGAAGTAGTACCTATATAATTTTACATTGCCCAAATTTTTTAGTGAAGGTGTCAGTTTCAACTTGTGTGTTTTAGGTAACTAAGTATTTATTATTATGCAGTAGGTTGTAGAAAATTCTTGATTTTTGTGAATTGATCTAATGAAAAGCCCATGTAGGTGTGATATTACCAAGTATGTACCTATAATATTTTTGTCTCAGAAGTTTGAAGTGTTGTTAATTCAGCCTGTTACAGTTACAGGTCAATAATAACCTCTGAAAAGTTATACATCACAATTTTTATTATTCAGTTGTACTTTCATTATGCTTATTTAACATAATTAACTAACAAAATATAAAAAAAACAAATTACAATCATTAACTAAGAACTAAATAAATGGTCACAAATAAGGATAAGTTAGATTCAAGTTTGCAATATTATCTGTATCAAACTTATCTTTTCAGAATTTTCTGAAAACCATGCACACATTATGATAAACTTCTTCCACAGATAACAATTTTGTATGGGTGGGTGAGAGCTTTGATGGATGTCTTCTGTGTGTGTGGGAGGAAGAAATTCTGTTGGGTGGAGCCGCTGCCTCACCCAATGATCCGGAAGACCAGCATCCATGTGGCTATGAGGATGATCTGTCCCCAAATGATGATTCAATCCAACTTCAAAATGACTGTGAAGAGGATTGGTCGCCCAATGATGATTTGAGAGAAGACTTGCGTAGTTCTAGAAACTTCAGGAAAAATGTGGGAAATTGCAGCTCTGGTCTGGTGGCAGCATCTCTCACCACTGCTACGCACATTGCTATTGCTTCTCCTGACCTGCAGAGTGTCCAGGTGAAACAATTTTATACAGTAAATGATTATATATGTTGTTAAGTTTTTAATGATATTCATTAGATGTTATGTTAGATGAATTTTCAACTAGATAATTAGGTTGATTCATTAACTTTTTGGCTGTAATAAGAAAATGGCTTCTTGTGTGCCCATACTATGGAGATGCCACGCTGGTGTTGTCATTTTCATCACTAGTATGCAAAAGGATTTTCATCACTAGTATGCAAAAGAGATTACTTCAAATGTCAATTGTCAGAAAAGCAATAGTGTGTCAAATGCTAAGATGTGCCATTTGTTTCAGAATTCTTTTATTTTGTGAGAATCAACCTCTATTTGCAAATTTTCTAGTTCAAAATAAGAAATACTAACACTATGGTTGAAGTAAAGTTTAGTCTTGAACTTTTGTTGCATTGCACATGCACTTGAGTAGAATTCATGAATGTGTTACCATCAATGCCTCAGGTAACACATATAAAAGCCTAATGCTATGGTTTCCATTCTATTTAAAGTAAAACTCAGAATTACTTTATCACATATGGTGGCAACATACATTTGGATATGTTTGTCATATTTTACATTGCATTTGGCTGTGTTTTAATATCCTGTCAACTAAACTTTGCAAGGGTATTTTTGCATGGAACTGCTGCTATCATTAAAATAATGTATCATGAATGAAGATCCTAAGATACTAAATTATTCACCAGTGAATGGATGGATGTTGGTTTTTAACTAACACTACTTAATACTAAATTAACTAACATTTTAAGTGGTAAACTTTCCTTGATTGAAATTTCATATTGTTGCAGTATGCTTGTAAATGCTAACATGGGCTGCCGGTACTGAATATTTATTTCATGGTATCACCAATAGTAGGTACTGTAACTCTTGCTTCNGCAGGTGCTCTACACTTTTGACAAGGTCTTGCCAGTTGTGCAGGCAACCGTCAATGCTTCACGGACTCTACTTGGTAGCTATAATTCCTTGCTTAAAAAACATGTTTTCCTTTACCTTGGTTGTAGCTTCGTTACAAATCACCGACTCTTCTTGGCAGCTGGAGTCATTATGGACAGAATTTTTGTTTTATCCAGTTAGGAATATTAATTGTATAATATTGCAGTCCAAAATGTAAAGAGTTAACTTAGGTTTTGAGTATAATATTGTATGGCCGATAATGTGCCTAAAGGTTTTGGCTGTCATTGATTGTCTGTGATTCATTTTTGTGCATTACCATGTGCTTTGTAATACAGAATGTAACTTCTGATTTAAAAAATTAAATCAAAAGATAGCTTCAAATTTATCCGTTTATCATCATGATGTATGCTGGCCATTGTCAACAGCTTTATAGTGGTTTCTTCTATGAAGATTTTCTCTATTTTGACTTCTAGCAATTTCCTTGTCGTGTATATCTATGTCATCTAGTTTCTTTGTCATGTATTTATATGTATATGTACCCCTAGATATCTTTATTTTATTTGCTGGGGGTTATTATTTGTCTCTTATTTCATTGTAGGTATTTAGTTTTTTTGTCTCTGTTTAGGATGTTTCATAAGCATGCACAACTATGAAAAACCAGAACATGCTTTTTATTGAAAAAAAATTCTGTATTCCATTACAATGGACTACAATATTTTTAATATTCAATATTAATTCTCAAGTGTTTTTTTTCCTGTCACTTATCCTCTTGTGTCACTTATCCTGTTGTGTCAGTTTGAGCTCCACCATATCAATGAGGTTGCCTCAATAATTTTTTTTAACTTTGTTTTTGGTTTGCATTTCAAAGAAGTTTTTTAGTGCTTCTTTATCAATGTCTCCTCATTTATCACTTTTCATTTGCAAAGAAATTCTTTGTGTTTGCAGCATCTGCCCAGACTGTTGACGTGATGATCTTGCTTGTTGATGTTTGCTTCCTTTCGAGACTTATGCTTTATTTTTTATGTGTTTTTTTATTGTTATTGCATTCATGGT